GCAGGATTCACAAGTACATCGGGGCCGCCCTGAGGACGCTGGGCCAGTAATGTCTGGCAGTCACATACTAATGCATCAGCAAAAGCAATTTGGTTGCGGCGTGGAAGAGCCGCAATATCGTCCCTCCAAGTTTGGAGCAGTGTCGAAAACAGATTCCTCCATTGAGAAGAAACGCTGGCAGAACTCATGATGATAAACGCTGCGGTATAAATAACAAGGCAATCACAGGTATGCCAAGCGGCATACAGGCGGTTACAACAAAAAAACGACATACGCTCCACCGCAAATGCAAGCATGACATGTGCCTGGTCAGTGAGAATAGCGACTTGGCTTCTTACCAGAACAGCAAAGCTCAGCAGCATTTGGGCCGAAAGCGGTGAATCATACCCACACCGTCCACATGTGAAACATATGGTAACATGGAGGCTGTTACTTGCACGTTCAAGCCAAGCATACTCCCGGCAGAGTGGAAAAGACTATAAAGAGTTGGCGAAAGACCGGGAAGCCACGAGTACCCTTCTCAAAAGGGCACATCACTGGCGACCGACGGTCAAAGAGCGCCAACCGAAACAGAAGGAGACCTAGAAGCCAGGAATGCCAACGCGGGCAAAGGACTGGCAACACAGGTCCCAAACACTCTGTACAAGGGAGCAAGGCAGGCTAAATAATTCGAGCGACGATGGCTGAAAGAATTGGAAGATGAGCACAGCGACATGCAAGCCATACTCAACACGATTATTCGCAACCTATCGGGGGCCCGGGAGCCAGCAGTGCCAGAAGGCACAAAGCTGACAACCAAGGCCACCAATAGGCTCAGATGGCACTTCTTTTGCGGTGCGATTTGGGTGCGACCTCGTTGGTGGCACGACGGGCACGCTGGGATTGGATATCCGCGATGTTGCCCAAGAACTGGAGGAGCAGGTCGATGTGTTTGAGGATCATGTTCTTGGCTCCGTTGATTTCCAGCTTTTTTGCGCTGACCGTGTAGTTGAAGGTAAGGGACTCGGGCGGCGTCAGCGAAAACCAAACTTTGAAGCTAGGAACGGCGGGATTGCCTCGACCAACCTCAACATAAGGGGGAATTCTATCCAAGTTCACATCTTCGGCTTCAATAACGCAGATTCCCATGGCCTCTAACTGGTTCAACACTGCAATGTCGGATTGCCAAGCTCTGGCAAACACACCTTTGCAATTGGCGTTTGGGTGATGGGAAACTTGCTTGTTTACAAGCAAAGATTTGAACTTCTCCTGCGCATTCTTGATGTCTTCTTCACCCGCAATAACCCGCATGGAAAGCTTGAGAGTGGGGGTAGAAGAAACCACGTCATCGGTCCTCGAGTCCACCATGGGCATTGACAAAGGGGGTGGCGGTGGAGTACAAGAGCCCTGCAACTTGTTCTTGATAAGGGTGGTCTTGGCTTCCAAGGCGTGCAACTGGCTCAGCAAGTTTGCACGCTCGTCGTCTTTGTCAATCGGCCTTGAGGGTGTAGAGCGTGGAGCCGAAGGCGTAGAAGGCGGAGCCATGGGGCATGCCTTTGGGCGGGTAGTTCTAGGAATGACCGGGTTAGACCAAGTAATCTCGTGGGAACTGCGATGCTTCCAGAATGTTCTTTCACCAAATTGGCAAGGAATCCAATCAGGCAGGGACGAGGATTTAGGAGGCAAGCGGGTATTCCCATGACGATCATATTGGAAAGGCGTGCCGTTTGGGGAGTTGGCATCAAACCACTCTGTAGGTGGCTTTGGTTTCTCCCGTTCCTCGGAAGAAGAGTAGTACTCGTACTCGGATTCGTAGGCATCGTGTCGGTTTTTTCTTGAGTCAACATGGCGAGGATCACGATGAGGAACGGGGGAACGTGTACGATGTTCTGGAACGTCTCGGGGAGGCGGGAGTGCTTTGGCAGCCTTTGGTCTCGACCGACTGTCGGAACGTGCCCTAGGTGACCTGGGTGAAGCTGAATAGTCCCTCCTCCGCGAGGTTTTCTCCCGCGGTAGGGGACGACGGTCGCTGTGGTGGTGCATGTGACCCGAAGCCAACTATTGGTGCAAACACAAAGACTTACCCTAAGCAGCAACCTGAAGAGAAAAAAAAGGCAAACGAAAGACGACGATTGAGCAAAGGCTCGCTAGCAGCAATCCAAAGGAAAGAATGTCCACTGCACTCAGAGAGTCGCGAGATTTATTCTTGCAAGCAACATGCGCCATCAATCACTACAACGTGGGTTGAATCTGGGTAGGCATCGGTTGACTAGCACAAAGCCGCGGCCCCGTGCCTCCCAATCCAACCTTCAGCGACTCATTTTAAGCATGGGACTGGAACAGGGCAGGCACCGGTTGACTAGCACAAAGCCGCGGCCCCGGGCCTCCCAATCCAGTCAAGCAACGTCGACACATGCTTCCAACTGATAATCTGAACATGGCGCGCGGGCACAGTGTATGTGAGGCCGGCGAGTGCGTGCGTGCAGGAAGGCGTGTGCAGAATGTATGTCGGGGCCGGCGTGAGCATGCGTGCAGAGAAGTCTGACGGACAGCATGTACATGCACGGACTACCTCTGACAAGGCAGCAATTCAAGTGGATCCGAAGGAAACCCAGCAAACCAACCATTCATGCCTGCGTATTGTATGTATGTGTATGTGTATATATATATATATATTTCTGAATACGATCAAAGTCGGTTGATTCGCTTGAGATCATCTGACAGTTTGAAGTTCAACAATATTGAAATCTATTTCAGGCTTTGGGGAGACCCTGCGAGAAGGAGATGCAACGCAGGGTTTGTTCGACATTTTTGTCCCCTTGGAAAGCCCAAACTTCTGCAGAAAGCCCAGAAGCAGAAAGCTCGAGCAGTGGCCCTTGCGTGGTACGTGAGGGGTGTGGTCGGACATGGAATACGATAAGGAGGCGTAAAGCAGGCATCCACATCTGCAAGGACACGGGGACCGCATCCGGATCTTCGATCGGACTTGTAGAACGTTGCCAGGGCATCTCTGCCCCTGTACCGTGATGCAGAGGCCAAGCTCCTTGAGCGAATTTCCAGAAGCCTTAGTTGTGAAGGTGGAGGAGTGGATCGAAGTCGCGGAAGGGGTGGGCCAGGCCTGAGCCGTCGCCTAGCCATGACATGCCACTGTGCTGAGTGTGTGCGTGCGTGTGTGCGGGTGGGTGTGTGTGTGTGTCAGTAATTGCAACGTGTTGCATGAAAGCGACATGTCATCAGCGAGTAATGCTAGTACTTAACATAGACAAACAGCATGTGCCGCAAAGCATCGGATGATATTGTGCTGATGTGCCGTTATGATACGTTATGATTTGTGAGACTGAACGGTTCGGCTCCGGCTTAAATCCAAGAAAAGCAGGCTCGGCCGGGCGCTGGCACCACAGGTGGGTTTGGGCACATGGGAACCATGGCACAGGTGTCCTTTGTCCTTTGAGGGATCTAGCCAGCAGCAAAACCTTCCCAAGCTGGTGCCCGAAAGACTGACAGCGTTTTGGTTCGGCTCCAGCCAGCGGGCGTGCAAAACGTGTTCCCAATCGCTCCTTCATTGATCCAGTGGCCATGCCTGACGCAGCAGTCACTGGGACTCCAGAAGCAGCTGGGGATGCTGGGGCAGAAGGCTCTTTGTGTCCAACTCCCCAAGTGGCAGTGTCCGAGGTTGCCGAGCGCATGAACGCCCAGCTCTTCCGGCAGCTTGCCCCCGGCGCTGCTGCACGTTTAGCCGGGCGTTGTGCCAAGGCCCTGCTCCGCAGCGCAGAGAGGAAAGTGAAAAGGTCCGGGGAGTGGGCCTGGCAGAGCCTGGCCAGGATCAGACCTCACAGCAGTGGGTGCTGACGACCACAGACGGACGCCGGGCTTCTCAAGCTTCCCACGTGCAACCCTCAAACGTCCAAATTGAGTCCAAATTTGAACGAAATCGCTCTTGAACAAGCCGTCGAACCTCATTTCACAGGCCCGGAAATGTACTTTGTAACCTCCCCGCAGGAAATGTCAAGATTCCACGAACAGGACTCCACGTCGCCAAGCACAATCTTGAAATGCTAGCGGGCCGAGCTCTGCTGGGGTCGGCCTCCACACTCAAGCAGATTGCTCATCAAGCCTACCCATTAACTCGCAAGGGGCCCAGGGTGATGTGAGATCCCACTGGTTCAAGAGTCAAGAGAGCTACGCAGCTCAGGAAACAACGTGCCTTTGACTGCTGATGACGGCGTGGAGCTGCAACCTCAGGAGCCGCGGCACAAGCGTCTGCTACATCATGCCGCATCTAACCGTAGTTGTTTGCTGAGATATAAATTTAAAGCTGTTCACAGGTCATACCATGTCTGAGGTCCTCGAAGGCCGGCGCACAGCACATAGCTCGCAGCAACCTAGAAAACTACAGAGATGAGAGTTTTCGAATCCTGGAACACATGGCGGCACCTCCTTTTGTTTCTGCTGTTCTGTTGGATTCCAGCATGCACTGCTAGACTAGACAGCTTCGGGGTCCAGTTCGTCGAAAAAGGAGATTGGGAACAATCACTTGACGGAGGGGCCCTCAGAACGCGGCGTTCCAGCCTAGACAGAGCATCCGAAGGGATGCGATGTAGGAAGTCCGACAAACCCGAAAGGACTTTGTGGAAATCGTGGGCTCCAAGACCTCGGAGGGCCAGCTGCGCGCCACGGTATTTTCCGGATTCCCGAGTTGGCCCCGCGCGATTGTAAGGTTCTTGTGCTTCAGCTCTCTTGCACTCATTTGCATTCTCTGCTTCTCTGTCTCCCCTGCTCTCTGTCTCTCTCTCTCTCTCTCTCCCGTTCTCTCTCTCTTCTCTCTCTCTCTCTCTCTCTCTCTCTCTCTCTCTCTCTGTCCCTCTCTATGTATGTACGTATGTACGTATGTGTGGATGGACGTATTTATGTATGTATGTATGTATGTACGCACATACGTATGCATAATAGGTAGGCATGCATACATACCTACATGCATCATACGTACATACATACAGACAGACACGCGTTTTTGATTTGATTTTCTGTGTTAGTGGCGGTAGACGGGAGACGACGCTCGCTTCGCAGGATCAATTCAACCTGCAGCTAGTTAAAGTGGCACAGGAGCACCGATGCAAGACAAACTGGGGCTGTTCAGCACTTGCACCGGAAGCCAGCTCCGCATCCAACCTACTTCAAACCCCCAGAGCAATGCATTACAGCTGCTTTCCAGGGAACAACATGAGTACATGACCATGAAAGTGCCGTGACAGCGTGTGGCGTGTGCATCGACAGGGCGCAGCGGAATCCAAGACTTTCGGTTGCATGTACACAAGCCGCAATCCTTTTAACAATCAAGGTTTTCAGGGCTTGATAACGATAGTGCTGTAGCAAATGCAGTGACGAAGTTACAAAGTCCCGCCCAACAAACGCCACGCACTGCAACCAGCAGACATACCCATACATAGCAACCTACATGCTTACCTGCGTACATACGTATACGTGCATGGATACCGATGTACATACATACTGACATGCGATACCGTTTTAAAGGTTTGCGTGAAGCACTAACTACGGACATTGCAAGGCTTCCAAGCCGCATCGCGAAGCCTGAGATTCGTCCCAAGCCCGCTATTCATGAAGTTAGGGTGGCATGGACATGCATGGACCAGAAAGCACATGTGGGCCGTTGCGGAAGTTACCGTGACACTCCATGCCTTGCGGGTTGCTCAAGGCGAGGCGGGAGTCAAAACCTCGGCCAGGCGGAGATGTGGACACAGAGCTTTGGGAGAAAGCGTTGGCGTTGGCACATCAACCCCAGGCACGGGCCAAAAATAGCACAGGCACGAGGACATGTGTCTACGACCGGCCTGCGAGGTGCGCCACCTCTTCCAGCCGGCATGAGGTCCGGGGCAAAGCTGGCAATTCTGTGGCTGGGCAGCTACGAGCGCCACCAAGCAGCGTGGTGAATCAGAAAGGGGTGCCAGGATGGGTCACCAGCAGCTCGCTATACGAGATATTGGGGGTGGTATGGTGTGCTGTTGTTTGAATAGATGTTCCTGAGCATCTTGAGCCCATCCTGGTGGACGCAGGTAGCTATTTTGATCTGCACGTGCGGTTTCTGATTGCCAGAAGCTTGGAGCTCGCAGGGCAGCGCGCGTTGTGCGAAAAGACCCGCTGCCACCGCTCGAAGTGAAACACCCGCCAACGCCTTCGGATGCGCTGATTGAAATCATTCTGCATGTTCGTGCCAGTGCCACATGCCAAGAGTCAAAAGCCATGTCGGAGAATGTTGAGCACCCACGTAATGTTTGACAGAGTCTAAGTTCCACTGTAAAGCTGGCTTTTCCACTGCAGTTAGGTCGAGACCTAGCGCAAGCCACCTCAACATCCGCAGGCCCCAGCCCTGAGAAGCTGCGCGAACAGGCCGGCAAGTGGTTGATTCTTTCGCCGGATGTCTTGTCCTCATGCATCCTATGTCCTTGTAAGCAAATATATAAAACATGAGAACTTTAAACTACGACTACGATTGCCTGGTTCCTCATCGGTCCCCAAGACTGTCCAGTCGGCAATGTTGCAAGTCGTAGTAGGCGTGTAGCCTTTCATTATCATGATCGTCGGAATACCTGCCACGAGAGCGTCGTTCTGCCTAGGGCCCAGGGCCTTACCAGTATCTCTTCGGTCAGGTGAAGTCAGTGGTTGCTGAGATCGTGGGCATGGAAGACTTGGTAGATGCCAGGTCCCGAAGTTGGTATCTCTTGTGCTGCCTTCCCACGGCCCGAGATCCGAAGCATTGGAAGGAGAATGCCCCCGACTCTTGCTAGTGCTAGACATACTAGAAGCTCTCCAGTTTCGCTGAGACTCAGGACACTCCCCTCATGCAAGCTGGCCTAACAAGCCAATCAGCAGCCGGGGGCTCATGCTTTTTGGTCGACCAGCTGCTGTCGTTCGGGGGCTTTTCTGTATTCTGTGGTTTCCGATGCAAGCTGTCGATAGGTTCTGGACTGCCACACAGAGGAAGCAGAGCCATTCCAACGGACTCAAGCGATGCAGGCGGAGAAGGAAGGTAGATGATCGAAGTCCTCAGGTCTTACTTCGCAACGCCCTGAGCAAGGAGATCCCTGGAGCCAGCCGGACCCCTAAAACCAGGCCTCAATAGGCCACACAAGCATACTGATCACCAAGGGAACCGACCTAGTTGGAAAGAGCTCGAGCTGTGCCGCCAATGAATTTTCGGAAATCCCTTTGCAGTCATGGCCTCGAACTCTTATAATTTTGGGTTCATCAAGGGCCACATGAAGATCAAACCAAGTTTATTGTTGATCAGTTTTGTAGACCACTTCATAGTGGGAATATCACCTTTCGTCGTGAACAAGATCCCGCCGCCCACGAGATCTTTATGTGGAAATTCCTTCATGAACCGAGTTTGCTTCCTACTATTACTAGAGCTAAGGGTCCTTTGTGTGGGACCTCGTAGAAGCCGAATCTATCAATCAGAGGTGTCCACGTCGATTTCGGCAAAGACTAAGATCAGGAATCAAGCAAGTTTGCTTTGGTTGCAGGGTTTTGGTTCAGAGTCGCGGGAGGCCCTCGCCCGATCACACTGGGACAGCCGTTGGCCCTGGAGGCCTCCTCCAGGGCCGTTTGCAGCCATGGCGCGAAATGAAGAAAAGGCGATGGCGGCCCTGAACCGGTGGACAGCCCAGAAGCGGGATATAGAGATGCAGAAGAACATGGGTGCCTTGGCAATTCCGGCATAACAGTGAGGTACTTTGGCATTTCGCAGCAGATCACCGTTGAACTAGGGCCCTGGATCAAAGATCCTTCCTACAGCCCTCAAAGAATTGAATAATAATTGAGGCCTTTCAGCACCTTTATACACCTGGCCCCGATCATGTTGAAACATTTCCTTTAAGTAGTTAAACCTGAGAGTCATGAACATGGTATGTCGTTCAAACTGTTCTAGTTGAGTTTCGAAAATGAGAGAGTGCTGAAACAGTTGCTTTTTACATGCGACCTGTCGCTTAAACACCACACCCCACCCGACCCCCCCTCAGCCTGCTGGTACTGTCGGATCAGTGACCCAAGGCAAGGCAACATACATGGGCGGAGCCCTGCCCGACACCGCTGCTTACGGGCCTTACAAGCGCGACAAGAGGCCGAAGATTGCTTCAGAGGCAGTGGGAGGGCAGACCATGCATTGTGTGGGAATCCGAAACTTCTTCAAGTTCTGATAGCCTTTCATTCTACCATCACAATGCCCAGCCCGCATCGTTCTACAAAGGTGAAGACCGTCAAGGAGTGTGAGCACTGGCGACAGGACATCCTCCGCGGCGTGGCGCCCCGCGCTCAGTCTTTTGCAGTAGGTCACCAGGTAGCGATCATGCTGCTGACGAACTGTGCTCTAGATCACAAGAGATGTTGGTGCATCCATCTTTCTGAGAAGCCATGATCTCGTGCGTCATCGATGTCGCCATGATGTGAGCATTCCCACAGCAGTTGCGTATCACTCTTCACCAAGGAAGAAGATCGCCGAGATCCAGAACGCAGCATTGGGGGAGCACCGCATCCGCGATCTGAATGACGAGATCAACAAGGCAGCTCCGCCCTGGGCGGTCCACTACCACCGGCAAACTGCGACAGAAACCCCAGAGTCAAGCTAGACCGAGCGCAGGGCGGTTGCTCGCTTGCGGGAGCCATCCAAATACGGCACTGTACTGTAGGGCAACAAGGCAAGCTGACTGTCTGCAAGCCTCCTTCCATGCCCGTCATGCAAAGCAGAGCTGCCCTTGGCTAGGACTTGCGCGAGAAGGGCTACTGGGAGGACCAGATTAAAGCACTTGGAGGCCTAAACCATCGAAGCTTGAGTTTGTGCATGCATACCTATGCAAGAGAATTGTCCAGCTGGGAGGATTACGTTACTGGCACAGTTCTGGAAATCGTACAACTAGTAGACTTGTGCTAGCATCAGGTGCCGACTACAAGTCTCAGCCGAAGCGGGACGTTGAGACTTACGGCGCGGAGTTAGCTTCACACAGCGGCTACAAGTGCCTTGGCCACACATGTAATTAAAGTTTGCTTGGACCACCCGTTCTCGACCATGTCGAGTTGTCTTGGTATTGTGTTCCCAACTCGTCAGGCAAGTCCAGGGCCTCTCAAAAGATGCTAAAGGATGTACTGCCCAGCCAAGCTATTCCTTCGTGGGCCGTGACCAGGTACTTCGGTGCTGCGAAAGACCTTCCTGGAGTGAGGGAGCTCTTTGAAACCGAGATCATCCCAGATGCCCCGCGCAAAACAAGGACTGGATGGCCTGCGCTTACATTGCATGAAAGCTTGCCTGCGTTGTTAGTATGTACTGGCCGCCAGGGTTCAGAAAATAGTATGCCGGCAGCATCCGCCTCGTATTTGCGGCGCAATAGAAGCAGAAACAGATGCGAGATCCATAGCTTCTGTTGCAAGCTCAGTCATGTTGAAATCCTTGTTGCAGGAAGCAGCTGTTTCTCCATATCCAACCGGATTACTATGGTTGGCGGGATGAAGAGGATGGCATGCTGCTCTTGGAGGACGGCACAATACGACAAGCGAAGGGCCCCAGCATCACAGTCGTTTGTGTTTCGACTTTTGCACAGCGTTCAGCCGAAAACTCCGTTCCATGTGTGTTCTTTGCTGACGACACTGCCCTGCGAGGAAAAAATTGCAGAAGAAGAGGCTGACACTTGGCTGGCAAGGCACTAACTGACTAACTGATGGCACTCGCCTCTCCGACTTTGCGGAGTTCGTCGCTGTGAGGTCAAGAAGCTTCAGGCCGAATGGAAGGTTGAGCAGGCAGAGCAGGCTGCCAAGGCCTCGAAGAAGCGGAAGGCTCCAAAAGAGGAAGCACAGAAAGAGGAGGAGAAGCAGGACACCCGGCGGAACGCTCGTGCCGCCGGCCTTTGTTTCGACCCTCTGTCTCGCACTAGAACGCGCAATGATTGCCAGCATCCAGCCGCGTGATGATGTGGCAGGTGCTACAGTAAACTGCTCAATCAGCACGCTCCGCCGCAGTTCCATATTCCTCAATCGGAAAGCTCCGGGCCACTCCTTTGCTGCAGCCATTCTAATTGATTACCGGTGTAAACTTTCCTTGAGTTGGCTTCCGCAAGCCTGTCGTCACTTGTCGCCTTGCGGCACAGGATCAGCCGAAAGAGCCAGAAGTGGAGAAGCCAAAGGACCAGGATTTCGCAGATTTCAAGGCCAGTACACGTTGATGTGGCTAACAGCCAGCAAGAGGGCAGCTTGGGGGAAGTCTGGGATCGTTCATAGAACCTTGGGCCCCAGCGTGCTCTACACTCGTGAACTATGTCGGCCCCAGTTCTACCGTAGAGACCGCCGGGAGCCGAGTGCTTACTCGGTCCTGTTTGCGTACCCGATGAAGTCGCATGAGAATGGTTCGCAAGACCGGAGCCACTGCACAAGACTTCGTGACTTCTTTGACTTCACCAACTCCTGTCTCATCCCTCCTGTTGGGCAGGCCTATGTAGACATTCCAACGATGGAAGACATCGAGCGGCTCATCGTGAAGAAGAAGAAAGAGACGCTGCTGAAAAAGTATGCCCCCAGCGAGGCTCAGTCGAACGATTGACCATCTCACATAGGTTCAAGATACCAGTCGAGTCACGGACCCTACACATGCAACTCCAGAGCTTTGCAAAAACAAAACCGTGAGCTGCTTACTCTGTAAACTACTGCACACTGGGTTGTTGCATACTCTTGCTTGCTGGTTGGCATGCTATGTTTCACAAGTGCAGCTCGGCGAGATCACATCGGCAGGGAAAATTGGTGAGAGCACGGATGCAGGGCCACTGCAGGGTGGGCGAGTCCCTGCTGTGGACAACAGCACTCAGACACTAGGCCCTCAAGGCCTCAGGAAGCTTTCGCTCGGTATCAGTAGCGAACACCAACGCAATGATTCTGTCTCTGTGTGTGTCTGTGTGTAAGGCCTGCCTTTCACGATGATGTTCGACTACCCATCGTTGGGCACCCAAAGGGGTTGTGCTCGGGAAGGGAACGGGCCGGCCGAGCATTGTCTGCAGGAAGCAGGTATTTGATTATGGTTCCCACGGATGTCATTAACAGACAGGTAGCAGGTCCTAGCACAAGAAGTCTTGACATGCTCTGGTTCTGTAGTTGTCTCAGGGGTCAGGACTGTACTGTAAAAAAAGATCGGGGTTTAGGGCTGCTGCCATTGATTCGTCAACATGCTGCGTGTTTGGCTGTCTTCTGGGGAGCAGCTTGCGGCGGTACCGGTGGGAGAAGTGCGTGACGTACGGAGCTTGAAACATCATCTGCATGGCATTTGTGGTCTCCCCCGATTCAGACAAAGGCTTCTTGGAGAAGGCAGGAGCTTGGAGGATGAGTTTGAGTTGGAAAGATCGCTTGACTTGCAGCTTGTGCTTTTGCAGTTTGATACATCTCCAGATCAGGCACATCAGCTCGCCCATCAACTCCAGCATGCTGCAAGGCATAATTTTCTATCTCAGGTTGAAGAGCTGCTTTCTCGGCCGCAAGATCCAGATGTCACAGGAACCATGGGTGAATCGGCTCTCTATGTAGCGTCCGAAATGGGCCACGTCGAAGTTGTCAGTTTACTGTTGGAGGCTGGAGCCAGCAAAAACGTCATTTGTGGCCGCTGGACACGATTGACGCCCCTTGGCGTGGCATCCCGTGAAGGTCATACCGAGATCGTGCGGTTGTTACTGGAGGCCGGCGGAACTGCATCCGACCGCCGAGACCGCGAAGCATCACCTCTCTATTTGGCCTCACTGCGTGGTCATGCTGAGGTTGTGAGGCTGTTGCTAGAAGCTGGTGCTGACAAAGACGAGGCCTTTGTTTTCACATACTTTCAGTGCGATCCTGCCCAGCTCGTCTGCAGTGAGGTCACATCCATTCAGTCACCCTTGGGTGTGGCATCGCGGGAAGGTCATACGGAAATTGTGCGCCTTTTACTTGTGGCGGGTGCAGATCGTGACAAGGGTGCGGGACGGCATGACGAAACCCCTTTCTACTTGGCTTCAGAGAACGGTCATGTCGAAATTGTGCGATTGCTCATTGTGGCCGGCGCTGCCAAAGACAGGAGCAGTGGGCCATGGGGCAAAACCCCAATTCGCATTGCTTGTAGCAAAGGCCATGTGGAGATCGTGCGCTTGCTGCTGTGGGCCAGTGTCACGTTGGATGATTGCTCTCATGCAGATGTGTCCTCCAGTGCAGGGGAGGATGAGATCAGGCGTTTGCTCGATGAAGCGAAAGAGGCGCACATCAGGTTGAAAGACACTTCACAGTCAGGCGCAAAGTTCGTGACATGACCAGTCCTCCACTTCCTCCGCTCGGCTTCTACACTCGCAGAATAGATGGTCAGCGCCGGAAAACATGTTGGAAAACAGCGGCTGAAGCTTGTCCAAGATCCACATGGATGCTACAGACCTACGCGCAGTAAGAGGCCCCCACTTCAGCATCTGCAAGATTTCGGTGGCGGCATCGTTTCTGTACGTTCCGTTTGTTTTTGTGGTTTTTTCCGGCTGCCTCGCAAGCAGGCAAGCAAGCAAGCAAGCAAGCAATCTTATATGCCTGTATGACAAACTCGCGAAACAAAGAAGCACACTCCAATCTAAGTGTTGTTTGGTCTCGTAGTTGGGCCTGCAGAGAATTTCCTAAGCCAAGGTTTGGGGCAGCGCAGGCTCCATGGATTTGTTCTGCTAGCTTCTGAGCCATCATCTGTCCGGCGTTGATTGGCGCTTATTCCAACATTAGCGTTCCGTCAAAAAGGTTGCTAACCAACAACTGACCAATGCCACTACCATTACTACCAATCCTACAACTACCACTACTGGACTACTGTACCCTCATATCCGGCATGCGAGAACTCCCAACACAATCTCCCAGACAACATGAAGACTTTTCTCTCCCATTGCCGTCCACTTTCACTGCATGGTATGGGGGCTTAAAATAAAACCCGTCAATAAAACAGGAAAATGGTGCCACAAAAGTTCAGGATCAGCGCCCTCACCGACTTCTTCGTTGCTCGAACAGTTCCCGAGGCCATCACAGTTTTCATAGATAGAAAGACCCACCGTATGCCTTTTTCCTGGATCTTGGACAGACGATCTGAAACATTTTGTTACCTGTTACCATAATCTTGCCGCACGTGTGCACAGGCTCCAGAGATCGAGGATGTCCTTGCTGGAGAGGAGGCCTCTCGACCATGGAGAGTCCTGAGTCAAGGCTTTTTGTGACCAATGTAACAGGCATACGCACAAGTCGCCGTAGGCATCAAATGGCATGAACCAACATTGTGCGCACGCAGGGGGCTGCCATCCGTCGCGGCCTTGAAAGTCTGAAGATGCCCTTCTTCCGGGAGAAACAGGGGAAAGCTTAAGCTGAGCAGCTAGAAACTCTGCTTCCCTCAAGGCCTTCCTCGCCTCGATGGTGAGAAGACCCGACGGCAGGTGAGACGTTCGAGCCGACATGCGGGGAGTGTGTGCTTTCAGAACCGCGACTGGTTCTTCGGCGTTCAGGCTTTCACAGAATAAGCGTGGTTACACCATCTGACACCTACTGACAGAGGGACTGTTTCATTCATCTTGCTTCGCAGGGATGTTAAGTTGTTTCGCGAGGATTGAAGTAGTGGTACTACTGATACTACGTACCAGGAGAAGTGGGATTAAGGGCCACTGCACTTAGGAGTGATATTACTGACGGTACTATTAGCCTCACTATCAATACTAGTAGCCAGCAATTATTCGGATTTGTCGCTAGAGAGTCTCGAGCTGCAGATAGTCAGTTGCTACTGGTGCGAGAGTCTGTAGGACTGGTACGTGAGCGAGGCCGGCCAAAACTGGCAACACCTCCAACAAGTCAGGTTTCCTGAGACCGCATGCCTCGCGCCTGATTCATACTGTGACAACAACAACAACAGCAACAACAACAACCACAGCAGCAGCAACAACAACAACAAGAAGGACAGCTTCGATTTAGACTTGTAATACGCAGGCTTTGTGGGTTGCAGAAGTCCCCATCCGGTTGAGCCCGAATCCCGCCAAAATATAACAACGCTGAGCCCAAAATCCTTCTGTGTGTTGAGGGGCCGGGAGTATTTAGCACTAGAGGATTTCCTAGCGACAAGCCCTGGTGCTGAAAATCACTTTGGAGTGACGCTTGGTTTTCCAACCAGGTCAGGAAGATTGTGGAAGACATTGTTGGCATGGACGACTTTGACGATGCACTGCCCTTTCAGATTTCGATCGCTTGCATCGAGTTTGTTGGACTGTTGTGTCAAAACACACTTGGTTTCTATGGTTTTCGAATATGTTGGACACGACTGCGACTCCCTGCACAGACTTTCCTGCCACGTTCAAGCTAAATGGTCACCGAATGCATGGCTCAGATCGGCTCAACCGCTAAGCGGTCAGAGCTAGGTCTCGCATAGCGCGACAGACAGCGCATTTACACATTACCAGACCCTGCCAGCTGAGCTGGATCATGCAGTATCTCCAAAGACAAGGCGCGACACCCACTGGTTTGCGCGGCAGCGGCGGCGCGTGCAAGCTTGAACATGTAGAGACCATTGTGCTCCTCAGAGACAGCCAATGCCAAGCGGTCAATGGTGCTTTTGCTGCGATGGCCGTCCACGAAACCACTAGCACGAACCTGCCAGAGATCTGGACGTGCGGAGCCTACAGCGGCATGATTCGAGCACCAGCATGCTGTAGAATCTTGCAGAGTCAGTCAGCATCGGAGTCTGAAACTGCTCCAAGGTCTTTGGAGAGCTTCCGCAGTCTACAAAACCTCGCCCTGGCAGCTCGTTTGCAACGACCACCTGAACAGAGCACTTTTCAAGTGTAAAGCAATCAGACTGAGAAGATGCAGCCGCAGCTAGAAGACTCGGAGCACATCTTTGGATCGGATTGAGGCCATCGGATAGGGCCCCCTGCAAAGCTCAAGATTTGCGACCCAGGACCTTCTCGGCCTTTGGCAGGCGGGGACCGAGGAAAACGAAGTGGAACCCAGTCATCTTGGAGCAGATTCCTTTGACCTGCCGTTGGCAACGGACATGGGCGAACCCCCAGTTGAAGAGTCCAGACCTGCGACTTGTGGAACGGAGTTGTTTGTGTGATGGTGCTTTGACCTGCTCCATCCTTTCGAAGTCGGGTTCAACACATCGATATCCACAAGTTCGATCCTGCAGGAAACTCACACCCTTCACCCTGTGAAGGACGTGGGTGCTGGCAAGAAGGAGACGCAGGCAGACGCCGAGGCTGACAAGTCGTACTGCTGGGCGGTCCTTTGTTTTATTTGGTCCTTGCCTCAACATTCATATTTTGTGATTTTGGCTTGCCTGGGTCTCTCCAGACTCCAGTCCACCTGGTTTTTTGTTGTAGCAAACGTAGTCTTTCTCTGTCTCCACTCCCTCCCACCTCGCTGGTTCAAACGTTTGTCCGTCTCTCTCTCTCTCTCTCTCTCTGCATCTCCTTGTTGTGTTTTCGTTTTCTCCCTCCCTGGTAGTGTAGAGCAGCGCGAACTGTTCACGGCACAAAAAGTCTGGCCAATGTCAGGTAGGTTATGATGGTGGACACGTCGACGTAGGTG